TACACTAACATCACTTTAGCAGTTTCTTATATATACCACAAACGTTATCATGACATGAATTCTAAATAGCTCAGTGTTCAAACAGGCACCAGTGAGATGCTGCTGCTCACCAGTAGTCGTACGTGTCGTCCCAGTTGTCAAAATGAACCAAGAAGCGGTCGTCCACCACATCAGTGACGGTTGCTACACAGATGAGGGAGGGATTCATGCGGTCGACGGCCTCCAGCTTCATTCCTGTCTCGAAACCACACTTCACATCCATCTAGACAGAAAGAAAACATGTTAGATACCATCTGGCAAGTGGACCGTCTGGTAAATGATGTGAAAGTTCTAACAAAAGGGATCCAGTAGCTGTTTTAAACAATGACAGATCGACTGATAGCACATTTGCAAACAAGCAGAATGTTTCATGATGTCCTCAAATTAAATATAAACATTGTATAAGACAGAAATCACACTGGACATCGGACTCCACTTTGACAAAGCAACACAATGAGTGTTGTCACGATCTATACTCTACAAATCAATACTTGGAGAATAGAAAATGTGCTTCCTGAGAGAGCTGCACTGTTACAGCTGCGTCTCCCTGAAGCTGGAGTTTTCCCAACCCTAAATCATTCACCTCATCCATCCACGTTTGTAGTTAATACAACTACCGTATATTAAACTGTACAGCGGCAGTTACCCTGCCAGGACTCGCAAACACTTCTTTGGGAGCCACTTGTGCTTTAGTCATTCTCAGGTAGTTGGTCCAAGTAAACTCCTCCTCTTTACAACCTGCAGGGAACACAGAAACACAGAGAGACGATTAAACATGGAGCATTTAGAAGGATAGATCAACATTTTGGCAAATATGCTTATTCACTTTCTTGGAAAGAGGAACACGAGAGGATTAATACTACTCTCATGTCTGGGTGTAAAAATGCCAGGAGACAGTCAGACAAGATTAGTAAAAAAAAAAAAAAAAGAGAGAGAAACAGGGAGGAAAAGGTCAGCTGGCTGTAAAGGGAGACAAAACCATCTACCAGCACCTCTAAAAATCAGAACTAATTAGCGCTCAACATCTCTGTAATTAACCCTTTATAGTGTGGAGGTCCTTGTACCGGGATCTTGCTGTACATGCTATTAAAACGGGACAAATCACCATTTTTCTGAGGTTTCCAAACTTGTTTGATTCAGCAAAAAGGCTGCCTGGTACTGTGCTATGATCAAAATGCATGTAGTGTTATTGTTGTGCTTCATCAAATTTGGTCGAGCTGCAGTTGAGATTTTTTAGAACAGATTCCATAACATCAGTGTTTCCTGGCTTTTTACTTCTAATTACTGTCTTAATTATAGTTTCGTTGTGTTATGTTTTTTCAAGTAGCACAGTACTTAAGTATTTAAACCTTAAATCTTTAACCCTGTTCAGGACTTTTGGGGTCTTTTGGACTCCAGGCCATTTGGTTTAGGTGACAGGTATTGGTTTTTTTTGTTGTTTTTTTTATTGTTTTTGACTTTAAATATATAAAGAGGGACATTTGTCATACAATTGGAACCAAACATACGTCACCTTGTCAGGAAATTAATTTAACATAGCATAAAAGTCTATAATAAAAACCAACAGATATTTTGCACATATTCTTTCTTGGGTTCCAACAGACCCAGAAAGACCTTCTACGTATGGCAACATGAAAGTCCTGAAGAGGGTTAAACTGTAAAAAACTGAGGAATTGTCAGAGTTTTTGCTTTCAAGCAGACACTAAACTTATCATATGTACTTTTGATTCCATCAAGAAAATGAAACCTAAGCTTAAAACAGACATACTTCATCAAAACCACTTAACTCCTTAATAACTTTGATCACTTTTTGCGAAAAACATAAAACCAAAGAATTCTTCGCTGCTCTGGGTAATTGAAAAGCCATCAGCGACTCAACCACGACCAACAGTCATGTGAGTGAACTGGGCTGAAATGCAGGCTGTGATTATACAGAACAGATAAAGAGCATGGAAGCACGTCTGAGAAGATCCTCAGTCATCCAGGTCACAGTTATTCTGGTAGATTAATCGTGGCAACTGGACTTGCTTGAGTTCCTTGAAGACGTTTCACCTCTCATTCAAGAGACTTCATCAGTTCTGAGTGACTAGTTGGGAGTTCCAGACACTTATATTACTTATATTATAGTGTCAATGGCTCTTCAAGGATATAAGTATCTGGAACTCCCAACTAGTCAGTCAGAACTGATGAAGCCTCTTGGATGAGAAGTTAAACGTCTTCAAGGAACTCAAGCTATGATTAGTCTACCAGAATAAGTATGGAAAGACATTTTTAAAAACATTAAAGTATGCAGAGCCACCAGAATATGCAATACCTGTGGGGGAACTTGGGAAAATATTGTACATTTAGTTCCCGATTTTTCTCAGTTTTTTTTAAATAATCAAAAAAATCTAATAATAACACAACTTTAATTTTTCTTTTTTTAGGACTTATGGCACTATAAGTCTTTCATACTGCACAGAAGTCACGTTTAGGTTCTGTCTATGTCTAGCCATGCTTGTCCTGTTTCCAGAGAGGTGCAGAACTTTATATTACAGCAAACAAACGAGTCAACAGTGAGTAAAAATGTGACATCCAGAAACTGCTTATGGATCAGCGGGCTAAACTGTTCCAAAAGCAGCAGCGGTGCACGTACTTCTCTATGAAGTCTAAATCAGGTGTTTACTCTTAATTTTTTCAATGGATTAAACAATGTGACGGCAGGAAAGTGAAAACCCCCTTCTAAACCTGTGTCTTTAAAGCTGAAGATTCATCCATTCCAAATCAGGTGAATAAGCATTTGTAAGTGAAGGGCGTGTTGGCGTGTCGTCACCTCTGACCTTTGGGAGTGTGTAGTTTGTGTCCTGTGCTCTCACACCAGCCTGCGGGGTGGATGTCAGGCGAGTTGGCGTTCACCCAGAAGTCGTGACAGTCGGAGTAGCCATCAAAATGGAGCCTCAGCCGGTAACCACAGACCTGCAGGGAAAGGCGATACGTCAGAGGAAACCAAAGCCGGCTGCAGAAGGCGACACCTGAGTGAGCTGCTGGTTCAGGCACAGAAGTCCACCAGCGAACACTGATTTTTCTTTTTTATCTTAAATAATCCGCCTGGCCATTAGGATCCATTGACCGTGATAATGGACGTCTGGCTCACCTCGGCCACAGTGAGGACGAAGTACATGGATGGATGCTGCGGGTCGATGCCTTCCAGTTTCATCCCCTGTTTGAAGCCGTTCTTCACCGTCGGCACTCTCTGGGACTGGCGAAAAAATAGCAAATGTTTCAGAGAATAGAATAAAGTGAACATAAAAAAAGCCTTGTGGGGAAATTAGATCACAACAAAAGAACAAAGGAGAGATAAGACTGCAGAAAATGGACCAGAAAAGATTAAGTTTTTTATCACTCTCAAGCTGCTTGTAATGTTTTTCCTATGTTGTTCCAACATCACAAGGTGTCGGCAGGACTTGTGCTGCAAAAATGTTTTAGTTCTTTGAAAGTAAATCGCATAAAAATGAAGCCACAATCAATATTGTACGATACCAAAGAATAAAACCACAAATTATGCCTTTGGCTGCATGCATTAGTCTGCTCCAGGTGAATTTTTTTTGACGATTCCCACAACGGTGTGACCCTGAGCTGCTGCAGTGGCAGTAAAACAAGCAGCAAAAAGTCACGGGTGTACTAAGTTCAGGCTGAAACCAGAGTCTGAAAAACTCAAAACATACCTCCTGGAAAAGCTTGTTGGGAGCAGCAACAGTTTTGGTTTCCTCCAGATACTGAGTCCACGTCCACTGCTCCGTCTTGCTGTCTCCTCCTTCACCGGAAACACAGATCGCTCACATGATTTATGCAACGTGCATTAAGGCAACATGTTACCAGAAAAAGTTTAAAAGAAAGACGGGGAGAGGTGTTTTATGGTGGAAGAAGAAGCAGAAAAGAAGTTATGAAAGGTGCCACTGTCGTCTTATACGTCAGTTATAAATGAAATTGCTCATTAAAAGTGAAATATTTCAGTCTGATCTTTTTAGTTGAACAGTCTGACTCTGGAGAAGATCAACAAGGCAAAGATATTAAACTCTTTTCTCCATGTTTTAATTAAACAGATAAAAACTCACCAAATGTGAGTATCAAAGTGACATATTTACATGTTTTTCCATGAAAATAATTAATTTCTGCCTTAAAAGTGAAACTGATCAGCTCATCATCAAGCTCTGCAGAAGCCTGATAACGATCCTCATCATTTGAATCAGGTGTGCTGGAAGACAGAAACATCTAAAACATGCAGGACTGTGGCCCTCAAGGACCAGGACTGGACACCCCTGCTCTACACTGTTGCTTGCTCTGGAATGTCCAGATCCATGAAGCCCTCGCCTTGATCTCCACCCACCCCACCAGCTCAGCTCCACGCTACACAATAACAAGCTGTGATGTTGGAATATTATTTAAATGTTCAGAAACAGATTCTCAAGAAGAACAATGATACAAAAAGCTGAGTCGGTTTCTTTGGTTCGTTTAGTATGAAACTCTGGAAATCTGAATCTACATTTTTGAGACTATCATCAGAATGCTGCAGTTTTAAGATGAAAATTCTCAGCCGCTGCACTGACTACTCGTTTCACACCTGATAAAAACACCATATGAACATGTTAAGAAGGTAAAAAAAAAAACAATAACTTAATTTACACCAGAGGAAAGTCTTTAACCCTGTTCAGGACTTTCATGTTGCCATACGTAGAAGGTCTTTCGGGGTCAATTGGATCCCAAGAAAGAATATCTGCAAAATATTTGTTGGTATTCATTACAGACTTTTATACTATGTTAAATACATTTTCTGATAAGTTGACGTATTTTTGGTTCCAAACGCATGACAAATGTCCCTCTTTTTAAAATATTTTTCTTGTTTTTTTTAAGCCTTTATTATAGTTGAAAGTGGAGAGAGACAGGAAATATGGAGAGAAAATTGGAGGAAGGACCTGCAGCAAGTGGTCACGGGCCGGACTTGAACCCACGACCTCTGCATCGGGGACTACAGCCCCTGTTCATGGGTCGCCCACTCAGCCAGTTGAGCTACTGGGGCACCCAAATGGCCCGGGGTTCAAAAGACCCCAAAAGTCCTGAATAGGGTTAAGTTCCTCACATATGCCAACTCACAGCCGAATCTTTGCTAAAAGCTTTCAGTCAAACCTGGCTGCTCAACATCAGCCTCTACACAATTAGGACTATGATTTTCCACAAAACAGGTAATCCAAGCACCAGTTTCACCACAGGACTGTACTGGCACTGCAGTATCTGATTTATAGATAAGGTCTACTATAGCATCAATAAACCTCTGAATAAACTCGACCCCCCAGTTAAAATGTAAAATGCTTCATTAACCCATCCTCCTGAACCAGCGTCTGACATCTGGGACGCAACACTCGCAGCAAAATTTCACCCACACTTGTGTAAGGAAAGCCTTGAAGTCCTGCATGCAGCCCAGAAGCAGGAGGGGTTTCTGCTGTTTCTCCACACGGTTTAAAGAGCGTTTTAGTCTCGTGTTTACTTGGCAAAAGCTGATCCTGAATCCCGCCATCACACGGCCTTTAAAGCTAACAGCCTCTGCAGACAGACAGATCCTCTGAGAACCATCAAAGCAGAACCTGCCGGCTCCAAAAACCAACAGCACCATCTCTCCAAAACACATCCGGCTCCACATACACCGATTACTGTCGAAATTAAAGGAAGCCCATCATCAAATTAGATTGTTATCATCTGCTGGAAATACTCTTTAGCACGAGTCGGTGTTAAAATCCTGCAACAGAGACGCATTCTGACTAATAAACAGACCCAGACGCCATAAACTAGACATCGAATCAGGCTCTTATTGAAAGAATTGGAAACCCACAGAGGAGAGAATCTGTAAACACCCAACATTAGCACAAACAGAGAGACACGCGTCCACTTTGTCCTCGTCTACCTGCAGTACAAAGCTGTCTGGAAGAGCTTTACAGACCAGGTTACACCACAGTGTGATGAACTGATGAGGAACCACGACTCACACATCCAGCAGCACACACTTAATTTAAGCCTATTTAATATTTCACTGACAGCACACTTCAAATTTGATCATTTAATTGTAATTTCCTTCATTTATCTGTTATCCATTTGTCTGTTTAGGACCACTAGCTGTGTTGTAATTAAATGTAATAGGATGTAATACAACAATCATTGTGTTATTCCCTGTTATAAGTTGTTTTTGATTGTTTTCTGCTTTGGCAGTTAATGCAGAAAAAAACAGAATGAATTGAAAAAAAATCTCACTATAAGTTCCATTTCTAATACAACTACAGCATTATATTATCTACTTTCATTCCTCCACTGTGCTCATCTTCAGGAAAAGAATTAAAGAAATATAATGAGGGGTCAGAGAAGGACAAAATAAAATCGTGGATCATGCTACACTCCAACATGATGCAATGCAACAGCGCTATAAAAAGTAGCCCGCAGTGTTATAAATGTGATTTCATGGTACTGTAATGCGTCTGTTGTCTTTCATTTGACTTGACATTTCAAGTTAAACAAACAAGCAAAGAGGACGGCGGTGCAGCGGAGCGTTGGTTAACGCTGTTGCCTCACAGTATGAAGGTTCCAACCTGCTGCTGGAGTCTGCATGTCCTCCATGTGTTCCTACCGCCGTTCACAGACATGCATTTGATTCTCAGTGTGAATGTAAGCATGCACGGTGGGCTGTTGGTCTGTTTGTGTTAGCCCCTCTACAGCAGTGGTTCTCAAACTGACCCTCATGGGGGTCCCAAGATGATTTCAGGGGGTCGCCAAATCATTGTAAAAAAAAAAATAATAATAAAATAAAGCCAACATTTATCAAATAAATGTGTATCAGGGCTGCCAAAATTAAAAGTGTATAATTCTTCCCACTCCTTTTTCAGACTTGTTAATATTATGATTTGATTGTGTGATATTATTATTCTTTTTTGCTCTTTTTAAAATGATTTTCTTTTGTTTTTGTCTAGTTTTTCCCTTTCATTTGTTTGAAATAAAATCAATTCATTCATTCATTCAAAAGAAAATTAACACGTTAATGTGAAGAGATTAATCTGTGGAATTAACACATTCATTTTTAACGCATGAACAACAAAGTTATTACTCATTAAAAATTCAAATTGGGGGGTCACAAACTTATGTTATCTTGGGGGTCGTGGCTCAAAAAGTTTGAGAACCGCTGCTCTACAGGATCAAGCAGGTGTAAATGACGGATGGATGGATGGAAATGAGCAAAAAGACAATGAAAATGACACATGACTCAGACAAAAAGATAAATGTAAAAGGTCATCCAACCTCCTCTGATGTGTCGGCTGTCTGCTTTCGAATCGTCTATTTTCTCGTCCTGAAAAACATGTAATAACAATCACACTGAGCAGATTTACAGGAGACTCTGGGTAACTCATGCGTAGCTCAGAAAAGCTCTGAGGTTATATCTGAAACAACAACACTGCTCCACCGTGCCCTCGATGTCAGAGTCTTCCTCAGACGGACTCAGGTACTCCTTCCTCTTCCTCTTCCTCATGGGTTTCAGGTGGTCGGGGTTCAGGGAGGAGACCCTGCCGCCTGCTGGAACCTTCTCCACGCTCCTCCTGAGGATCAGACAGATGTTCTAGTGGGCACATGTATGCAGAGAGGCACAAAGACCAGACGGCTGTTCTGAGCGTACTTGTCAGTGATCGGGTCCCTGCGTAGCTCCTCTGCGTAGCTCCTCTGAGCTCTGGGATCGTGGTTCTGCTGTCCCGGTCCGACCTGGACCTCGGGTTTGACTGGCACTAACCTCTCTGGCTCCACAGCTGCAGCTCTCACAGCGCTGACGGCAGCCGACACATCTGGCACATAAGGGACATATGATGTGAAGATGGACGACACAGATTTAACATTTAAAGTCTAATTTTTATATCATTTATGTCTTTTTTTTTTTTTTTACTTTGATCAGTTTTTCAGCTGGAATTGGATTTCTCTAAATGTCTGAACGTGGCCTGGTGGATATTTTTAACACGAATCTGCAGCTGCATCCTCTTCACTTGTCAAGAGACGCTCTGCTGCAGCTGATGCAATTATTGCTCATTTCTACTTAACACACACACGCACAGTTGATCTTTAGAAAGGGCATGCTGTGAAATGCTTCAAATGACAGTGCAGGCATGTATAGCGAGTAATAGTTGTTAACCCTATGAACTCCAAAACCCATTGGTGGGATTGAAAGGCGAGTTATCTTTTTAAAAAAAACTTACAAAAAAGTGACACCATTTATCAGAGGCGGAAACTGTAAAAACAGAAAGAATCTCCACATTGTGGGTTTTCTTACGGTCCTCAAACTACTCATCTGTAATGTGTTGTTTCACCAGAAAACAGATCTAAGCTTAAAATCGGGACATTTCTTCAAAATCACTTAAAGTTTCAACGTTTGCACTAAACAGAGTCTGCAAAAAACAAAACATTTTGCACTCTTTTGGCGCAACCATGAAGTCATCAGTGATTCAGACGTCAGCTACAGTCACGGGACAGAAAGTCTGAGTTTTTTCAGCTGAACTACAGGTTGTGTTCACACAGAGCAGACAGGAGACAAGGATGGAAACAAATGAAACACATATGAAGTCAAATATCTATCGTATGAAGAATCACCACTGGAGTTGTCTTTTAATTTTGTTGTGTATGATGACAATAAAAAGCATTCTTTTTTATTCTATTCTATTCTATTCTATTCTATTCTATTCTATTCTATTCTATCATTAGTTTTTCCAGTGTTGCTAACATCTGTAGGTGCTCGGAAAATGTTGTACATGTTGATTTTATATTTTATTTTTTCACTGGTAAACTAAATCTAAGAAATTCAGCTTTTTTCTTTTTTAAGATTTAAAGCCTTATAACTTTGTTACACTGAAAAAAAAGACATTTATAAGTTCTCTCTAATTCTATTCATGGTTGTGCTGTTTCCACAGAGGTACAGGACTTTATATTGCATTAAAAAAAAATAATCCTACAGAGAATAAAAATGTGACAAGAGCAAATAAAGAGCCCAGAAGCTGCTTGTGAGGTTTTGAGGGTCAACTAGTGCGACACCTCTAATACCTGAAATACATTCATATCACACAAAAAAGCTTTATAGATCAAACTTAGGATATATTATAGGAAACGCACACACAGCAAATTCACAATATTTAAAATAGATTCTGAATTGCTTTAGTGTTTATGGTGCCAAGTAAAAATGTTCCACCAAAATGCCTGATGTTGCTCCAACCTTATGTAACCATGACTCTACCTGGCTTGTCTGGAGCTTTTTCTGCGTCAGTAGATCTCCCAGAAGTCCCTGCTGCTGGTTCAGCGGTGCTGCCGGTGGTCCCCGGGGTGATCAGCGTGCTCAGAGTTCCTACGTCACTCACACAGAACTACAAAACAGACACACACACACACACAAACACGCTTCAGTAGACCCATCTGTCAAAATGTGTCCTGATGCGTCGCCACGTCTACTCAGACCTTATTCTCCTCACAACAAGTCATCAGGCCATCACACAATAAACAACGTGTGCTGTTGTTTAAACGCTCCTCGTCTGTTTGGAGTCAGATTGTGAGTCAGATTCTTTATGAGTCTGGAAAATTAAATGTGGTCATTTGAATGATTAAGGATTTTAGTGAGATGTTCTTCTGGTAAGCTCCACAAATTTTAACCCTGTGACCTCAAAACCAGCTGGTATCCTTTATTTTTAAGGTTTATCAGAGCCAGAAACTGCACAAATTGCAAGATTTTCCAGTTTCAGACAGTCCTGGAACTACTCATCTGCAATAACAGTCTGTTGGGAAACCTAACCAAAATCTAAGCCTGTAACTGTGATTTTTTATTATTATTTTTTTTAAAATCAAAACTATTTTATTCTACATGTCTTAATTAAAAACTCAGCAAAAATAAACCGTTTGCTCTAACTAAATCCTATAAAAAACTAAAATGTCTGTTTTTGTCATTGCGATCAGGAAGTCATCAGTGACTGAGCTTTGACCAACAATCAAGAGACAAAAATTTGGGGACTTTCTGGTGCAACTGGGCTGAACTGCAGGCAGTGTTTACACAGAGCTGATCAGAAACGAGGATGGAAACAGAAGGCAAATATCTATAGTATCAATTTTTGGGGGGTATTGGTGACAGCTGTGAGCACACAGAAAATGTATTACAAAGCTGTGTTGGGTTTTTGTAATTTTAATTCATACATTATTTTTTGATACTGACTTACAACATTTACATTATAATTTTTTTACACTGCACAGAAAACATTTACTTCTCTTTACTGCTATTCATGGTGGTGCTGGTTCCACAGAGCTTCAGGACTTTATACTGCAGTGAAAAATAAACCGAGTAAAACCTTGACGGGGGCAGAAACTGCTTGGGGTTATTCTCAGAAATTGTGTATCCCATTTTGTGCTTGCGAATGATTTTAGAATCGCATTATAACCTGTTTAAAGCAACTCGGATGCATTTATACATGTGTAGTTACTTTCTGTTGCCAATTCAAATAAGCAAACAAACAAAGAATACCAACGTCTTCATTCAATCCCAAGCTGTAAAGAGCTTCAGCATCTCTCCAACATCCTACTTTAGACACATCCCATAGCAGCTAGTTGGTCTGCTGCACCTGAAACACGTCTTTACCTTGAGGTTGCTACTGGGCAGGATGGCCATCCCCTCCTTCCACTCCAGGACGTGGACGATGCTACAAGCCCCGCCCACCTGTGCTGTCAGGGCGGGCGTAGCGATCTCATTGGCCCGGCCGCCTTTACCTGGGTTTCCCACGGCAACAGCTGGAGTCACCTCCACTTTCTGATGGCCAGGAGCTGAGGAAGGCAGTGGACTCAGATTTACTAACTTTCTGTTTTCTTTTAACTCATGAAAAGCCTAAACGTAAAGCACTTTGTTGCCACTACCGACAGTATTTGTGTTATAGACAATGTGCACTGAGTTGAGGTAAGGAACGGTAAGGAAATCCACTATGTAATACACAGGGCACTAAATGAAATCAAAGAGCTGCTCCAGTCCTTTATCAAGATGTAGTAAGAAGGCCTGCAACTGAAAATCACATTTCATGTCTAAACAATATGATGCTCCATTTTACTATCATTCGATTAGTTATTTAAAAAAAACCCAGATGTCCAAATCCCAGAGGTATTCAGGTCACTACGAAGCAGCTAAACCTGCCATCTGAAGGGCTGGAACTTGATTGTGTTTCATCTTTTCCCGGTTTTCTCAGAAAATATTGCAAACGTTTGATATGTGATAAAAATATTTGTTGATTTTGTTATTGTGGTGATTAAACAATCAATTCTTGACCAATTATTTCACATCTTTGTGAACTTATGCCATATGTGGAGCCTTAGCAGGTCACATTTCTTTGTTTTCAGTTTATTTTCACAAAGGACATTTTCCTGTTATTGACTGCCATATCTTTTAAATGCTGGTAAACAAAACAAAACAAACATAAATGTGTGGCTGTATTCACATGAGTCATTAAAAGTATACTTGCTTTTGAATGAAATGATTCATATATTTTAACCCATTTACTCATTAGTGTACAGTGTAAAGGCTTTCCTCTGACAACAGAGTGAATGTCTTGCTCAACAGCACTATAGCACGGTACGAACAATGCCTATAAAAATCATTCACATCCGTTTGGAAGTTTTCCCATTTTATTGCTTTTCAACATTGGATCATGATGAAATTAGTTTGGCTTTTTGATTAAAAATGAAGTGATGT